CGTCATCTCCGACGCCGCCATCGAGCGCTTGCCGTAAGTGGAGACCAACGTGGACCTCGACCTCCCGCCATCTCTCCAGGAGACCATCAGGGCCGTGCAGCAGCTCTCCAGCGGGAAAGCACCCGGATCGGACGCAATCCCTGCTGAGGTCTACAAGCACGGTGGTCCCCAATTGATGAATCACCTGACTGCGCTCTTCCAAGAGCTGTGGCGTAAAGGTGAAGTCCCTCAAGATTCCAAAGACGCAACCATCGTGCATCTCTACAAGCGCAAAGGGAATCGCCAAGTCTGCGACAATCACCGCGGCATCTCCTTGCTGAACATCGCCGGGAAGATCTTCGCCCGCATCCTTCTCAACTGCCTCAATAACCATCTGGAACAGGGCCTTCTGCCGGAAAGCCAATGCGGCTTCCGTCGTCATCGTGGGACCACGGATATGATCTTCGCCGCCCGTCAACTTCAGGAGAAGTGTCAGGAGATGCGGACCCACCTGTACTCTACCTTCGTGGACCTGACGAAAGCCTTCGACACGGTGAATCGTGAAGGACTGTGGAAGATCATGCAGAAATTCGGCTGTCCAGAGCGATTCACTCAGATGGTGCGTCAGCTGCACGAAGGTATGATGGCGCGAGTCACGGACATTCGCAGTGACCAATGGAATGAAGCAGGGCTGCGTACTGGCGCCTACCCTCTTCAGTCTTATGTTCTCTGCCATGCTGATGGACGCCTACCGCGACGAACGCCCCCGGATCCGCATCGCCTACAGGACGGACGGTCACCTCCTGAATCAACGGCGGATGCACTTCCAATCGCGCGTATCCACAACCACCGTTCACGAACTCCTCTTCGCCGACGACTGCGCCCTGAACACCATCTCGGAAGAGGAAATGCAACGCAGCGTGGACCTGTTCTCCGCCGCCTGCGAGAACTTCGGTCTGGTCATTAACACGCAGAAGACGGTGGTGATGCACCAACCGCCACCCCACTCAGTCACAGCCCCCAACGCGCCGCCGCAAATCAGCGTGAACGGAACCCAACTGCAATTGGTGGAGAACTACCCGTACCTGGGCAGTACTCTCTCCCGCAACACCAAGATCGACGACGAAGTCGCCAACAGGATCTCGAAAGCCAGTCAAGCCTTCGGTCGCCTCCAAAGCACAGTTTGGAATCGCCACGGTCTTCAGCTGAGCACGAAGCTGAAGATGCACAAGGCCGTCATTCTGCCGACACTACTGTATTGAGCGGAGACTTGAACGGTGTACGCAAAGCAGGCACGTCGTCTGAACCACTTCCACCTCAGTTGTCTTCGTCGCATCCTGAGACTGAAGTGGCAGGATCGAATCCGCGACACTGATGTGCTGGAACGGACGGGGATCCTCAGCATCTACGCCATACTCAGGCAAACTCAGCTGCGCTGGAGCGGCCACCTGGTGCGCATGGACGACGAGAGACTACCCAAACGACTCTTCTACGGAGACATCGCAACGGGTTCTCGCCGTCGAGGAGGCCAGATTCGCCATTACAAGGATACCCTGAAGTCCTCCCTGAAACGCCTGCAAATCAACCCCACCAACTGGGAG